GACCAGTAGCATAATGTCGATATGATTTTCATTCAGGATCTGTGTTACTTCAAGGTTGTGCCGTGAAACGCCAATGGCGTTCCACATTGTTATTCGTAGATTTGCCATTATTTGGACTGCTTAGCTGCAAGTAGCTGTAACATCATGTCCTGATTTTGAACCAGTGTTTGCATGGTCCTTTTCATGAATGACATGAGTTCCATCATACTTTGTTGCATGGTGACCATCATAGTTTGCGACTGTTCTTGGATCTGCTGAGCGTTTCCTAGATTAGACTGGAGTGGGTTTTCCGTCCCCGATCGAAGGGCATCGGCGTATGAGAATCCCTTCTGGGTACTTAGTTGACCAAAGGAGGATCTTGCAGCCGTGCCGAAAAATTCTTCCGGCGTCGTACGCGAGTAAGTGTACGCATTTCGGGTATTCTGATGACGCGTTGCTATCACTTTTCGCATGCGGTCCTTCATCTCCTTGTAGACCGGACAGCCACTGTAGTTTGCCGTGTGGTTACCTTGGCAGTTAACGCATTTTTTCTTTTTGGGGTCTTCTTTGTTGGCAGGGCAGTTAGCCGAATTGTGGAAGTCTCCACAAGCTACACAGACTGTTCGAAGCGAACTGTATGCCCTGGTGTGTCCATACTCCTGACAGTTTGTGCATTGCACTGGGCCGTTCCTTTTATGTGGCTCTTCCACGTTAATTCTTCGGTGCAATAAGTATTGCAGGTTATAAATGGGGTGCACTTCATTTTTCTTCAAGACTCTGCTGTCTGGCTCCAGCTCGACCCTGAAGAGTGGTTGCGGCTCTTTTTTCCTGTTTATAATGTTACTGACGTTCATTGCAGAAAACCCTTTTTCCTTGAGAGCATCGATAACTTCCTTGGCGGTTACGTCGGGCTCGATTCCTTTTATAACCACTTGCAGGCCCTTGCTGCTTTTTCGTTGGTAGCTTCCTCCAGGTATTTGGATACTGCTCGGAAATGTTCTTCAGATTTGGTCTGAAGCTTGGTTTCATGGATATCCCCTTTTGTGACCGGAACAACATGAAAGTTTCCGTCTCCGGTCAGCGCAACAATTTTGTTACCAGGGCGTTCGAGATTTTCTCCCTAATGTAAATTGGTGGGGGCTTAGGTTTCGGTTGGGTCTCCTGAGCCCGTCCTGAAGCGCAAATCGATTGCTGTCGGATCTCCCGGGTAATATATCTTCTACTTGGACACGGTTTATTTTTGACTTGTTACCTACCGCGGTGTTCTGCGGGCTAAGCTTACGCTTGATATGGATGTACCGATCTAGTCCGGTCCGTATGGCCGGACCCGCTTGCTGAATTTTGTTTTGGTTTTGATTTGTTGTCGTGGTTTTTGTTGCCGTTGTATTTAGAGCTGCGGTTGCAGTCGATTCCGAAATAATAGTCGTAGGTGTGGTTGTCGTTGGTTTTTTTTGCCGTAGCTGTAGTTGTTGCTGACAAATTTAGTGCGGATGCAGAAGTTTTACCGTTGCATGTTGTTGGTGCGCCAGGGGTCGAAACTGATGGTGGGGGGTTTTGCATTGTTGACTCCACGCCGTCGGAGTAGGGGTAGCCGTAAGTAAGCATGGTGAGCAAGATCGTGCTCTCTGGCTATCGACCGACAGTATGGTCGTTTTTTGCACTTCGCTATCACGCGTTGAGACATACGAAAAGTAACCGTCTCTTCGGCTCGCGGAGCTGAGTCGCTCTTTATTCTGTTCGTAGCTCATTGAGCTTTTATTAGCGTGGCACTTATTTATTATTATAAGATGAAAAAATGTATGTGCTAGTTAAAGTTATTACACCGATTTTGTGTTGAAACCTAAATTTCTTTGGGTTTTAGCATCTTTTCGCTTATTTGATATTAACCAGTTTAGTTTTTGTGTTTTGTTTGCATTTAATTTATCAACTTTCTTGCACTTTTCGCGGAGCTCGCACAAGACACGTCCACTCTCTTCAGCGGTCGCGAATCTTCTGTTTGTTGTAAGTTAAAATTAATTTTACCATTTTAAGTAAAACATTTCCTAATGTTTTTAAATGGAAAATGCAAAGAAGCCAGACGTCTAAAATCCATCAGCTGAGAATAAATAAATACATGACTTGGGCGATTTTGTTACAATTTCCCCTGGTGCAAGAATACCCTTCAGTTCTGCAGTAGGGACGCGGTGACATGGCTCAAGGCAAAAAGCTTCTTTTGTGCCTAAAACGCTGTGCCGCTGTTGACGTCAGCAGAGCAGTCGGCGCAGCGTAGAAGACTGCCCACGAAAACGATCGTGCAACAAAGAGAGGCAGATATTCGGATATTTCCCTCTCTTTCTTGTCTTATAATCTGCCTGCACTCCGCGCTCGCAGAGACAAATTTCGGCTGGTCCGTTATTTTTTTTGCGTATCTCCGTTATGTTCGGCTAGCGACTAATATTTCGGCGGAAAAATTTTCGTGAAGAAGCGACATGTGAATGCCCTAATATTCTAGGAGCATTATTGTGTATCGAAAAAAACAACTAATATTGTTTTATAAAAGTAAACTATTTGATTATAGTAAAATTTAGTAAATTGAATTTACTTATAATGTTATATTTACTTATTATACATTCTTATTACAATATAATTTTATAGTTAAGTTATAGAAATTTAGTCCGTTAAAATTGATTTAAGTATTTAAAACATTTAAGTATTAACATTTAAAAAAAAAATCGTATTGTATTTTTTACTCAAGAAGTAAAAACTATATAGTCGGATATATTTTACTTTAGAAAGGGTATAGGTGCAGTGGCACGCGCCAACAGCGAAGAGAAAACAAAAGAAATCTAGTAAAGGGGTGAGAAGACTTGGTGCATTCTGTTTGAGTGATTGAAAGGGAAGCATCCATTTTAATGGTGCGCAGCAGAGTTACTTTAATCGTTTAGTTAATATAATAAAGTCAGGTAAGTGCTACATTAAGTTTAAGATGTTGTGCATTGATCTTAGTTTAAAGTACGTAAATTTTGAAGGTATTCAATGGGTTCCGTTAGCCGAAAGTGGATGACGAAATGTTTTGTGCCAATAAAAATTCTGCAACAAGCTATAAAAGGTAAATATACAATTAAACAAATAAAACGCATTTTTTAAACATATGTTTTTTCAGGAGCGTTGGCCAAGGATTCAGAGGACCCGGACAAAGGTTTAAGAACGGCGATGTCTAACGTTAAAAATAAGCTTACGAAGCAAAAAAACAGAAACAATAATTGTACAATTTTTGAAAATCTAAATAGTACCATATAATTAAAATGAATTAAAATGAAATGAATTAAATTCTATATTTTTTTAATTGAAAACTCAAGGAAAAATTCTGATTTTCACAAGTGATTCACTTGGGACGTGTCCCTTGCAAGTGATTTCACAAGTGAAAACTCAAGGAAAAATTATGATTTTCCCAAGTGTTTCACTTGGGACGTGTCCCTTGCAAGTGATTTCACAAGTGAAAACTCAAGGAAAAATTCTGATTTTCCCAAGTGATTCACTTGGGACGAGTCACCGGCACGTGACAGGCCATACGAAAAATGAGTATAAGGAACAAGTGAATTCCCGTAGGACTTCGAAAAATTTTCATTTGAATTTTCACTTGTGAAAATGCGGACATCCCATACAATTTTCTATATGGAGCGTCACTTGTTCTTCACTTGTGCAAGAGGACATGTCCCACGGGATTCACAAGGTGATTCACAAGTGAAACTTTTTTTTTGGAACTGAAGGGTAATTAAAGCGTCAGAAAAGCAAAATCTTTGACAGGCTATGTTAAACTGACCATTAAGTATACTATATAACGCGGTTTAAGTGATTTCACCAATATTTTAATATTTAACGTTTAGCTAAAAAAATTGCGCAAAGAAAAAGATTACCTATATAATCGCATCTCTAATCACCATTTTTTCAAAGGATTTCTGTTTGTCTTGTTTGTTTGTCACCTGTATTAGATTTATTCGCACATTTTCATTGTTCAATGTATTTTTAAATTTGTCATTATATTATGTATTTAAATAGAAAGCAACCATTACCAATTTTTTTAAATGCTTAAGCCCAGTACTCAGATCGGCTAAGAGTTTCACTAATTGAATAATCTTATTCTTTGTAGTGTGACCGAAGTCTTCAAAGTTCACCCGCAACGCATGTAGCATGGTCCTACTGTCAAGCAGTTGGGTTTTGTTGCCAAACGGAAAACAAATCAATTGGAGAAATTTAAAAAGGAGGATACTGCTGGTACACTAAGAAATTAGAATAAAAACAAGGAAGAACGCTATAGTCGAGTACCTCGACTATCAGATACCCGTTACTCAGCTAAATAGAGATATGCAAGTAGCAAAGCGAGATTAAAATGCGCCACCTACCGGTGGTATACAGAACTAAGCGTTATGGGCGTTAGAGTGGGCGTGGCAAATTTTTGGACCAATCGATGGGTATTGTCGAGACCAATACATTTCAGTTAAAATTTTTTATCTAGCATACAAATTGTGGGCGTCACAGGTTTTCGCGGTTTGTGGGCGTTAGAGTGGGCGTGGCATATTCGCGTAACAAACTTGCGCCGCGTTTAAGGCTACGGAATCTAAATCTGAAATCCCAATTCTCTATATTTGATAGTTTCCGAGATATCCACGTTCATATTTACGATTTTTTGAAGTTTGTGGGCGGTTTATGGGCGTTAGGGTGGGCGTGGCAAACTTTTTTTTGGGTCAATCGATAGGTATTGATGAGAATGGCACCTCTACTGAAACAAACTTGCGCTGCGTAAGAAGCTCAGGAATCTGCACGCCAAATCTCAATAGCCTAGCTCCCATAGCTTCCGAGATCTCAGCGTTCATCCGGACAGACAGAAGGACAGACGGACATGGCTAGATCGACTCGGCTAGTGATCCTGATCTAGAATATATATACTTTATGGGGTCGGAAACGCTTCCTTCTGCCTGTTACATACTTTCCGACGAATCTAGTATACCCTTTTACTCTACGAGTAACGGGTATAATAAATGGAACGTTCAAAGAATGTTTTTATTTTTGTAAATTAGTAGCTTAAAGCTTCCTTCTCGTCCTACGGATGCTTCGCAGTCTTTCCGCGCCACCGCAGTCCAGCTCCGAGTCCCAATGGGCATATTGGGCCTTGAGGAAGTGGAAGAACGTGGTTGATCCGCTGATGCTGCAGGAAGTCGCCCAGCATCCTGGCAGGGGCTGACTATGGCTTCTCCAACTGTTCCTTAGCGGGCGCCCTATTTTCTCCCTCCCTTTAGAAGCCAGCGGGTCCTCCATCTCCGCTTAAGCTGCCAAGTAGCTGGTGGCGGTGGTATCCGGAGTCCTAAGTGCTAAAAAGATACTTCTATTAGTACAACACAACCAAATTCGTTTGGCCAGATCTTACTTTGTTTGCGAGGACGCGCCCGGAAGGATGTCCATGTAGAGATCGAAGTCCCACTCGGCATGTTTCTACCCACTGGGATTCTTTAGTGGATCTCATCCTGCACTTCAACTATTCTACGAATTTGCCCCTTTTGTGGAATTGCTTCTTGTCGGGGAAATCCCACAATAAAGGGCAACAGCTTGGATTAGGCGTCCTATTTCATCTGCACTGACCTCCTGCAGTCGATTTTGGGGTTTTCCTTCCATGTTTAATTTTTAGTTTCCACATCGCCTTTGCACGAACACCGGCAAAGATTAAATTTCTTATTCTTTGGGCCTCGGCTAACGGCGTTCATCGAAAATTCACTCGCGAAATCTGGATTTTTTTTCTGGTATTTCCTTAGCACTTCTGAGTACCGCGCTGAAAAACAGACCCGACGAAAAGCGTTAGCCACGTATTTGCCTCTCGCTCACTCCTATGGTTAGCTCGCGGTTTTCGTCGCTCTGAGTACTAGGCTTTAAAAATGAAATACCCTTCTAAGGCCCGTTCCCATTATGAGCGCGTCCAGCTTGCATCCGTTTTTCGTTTAATGCGCCTTAAATCCCATGCAAACTTGTAGAGGAGCAGAGAGGGAAAAATTCCGCGTTGCATTGCTGCAAAGTCGACTTTGTGGTATTTTCCACAACCATTACCAGCTGACAAAAGCGGGAAAATGGAATACGGAGGAGGTGTTGTGATTTATTTTTTTTACCAATTTTTATTGAATCATTCCCTTCACAGCAGATAGAAAAATTACCTGGTCATTTGTGGGGGAAAACATGGTATGGAGCTTTGCAGTTGCTCAAAATCATTGTGTGTATCCTAAATCCGCAAATCCTTCCACACATTCTTGAATATTCTCTTTGGTCAAAAAAGTTTGGAGACAAGTACTCGGGAGATATGACTTCGATACAAAATTCTATTCCAATTTTGAAGGGTTGGCCTTAAGATTTAAGCAGCACATGTGAGAACCACTTAGGCATCATTTATAACAGAGAAATGAAAAAACTAGACAGCATAAGAAAAAAAGCATGTGGAATTTTGGTGAAGTATGGGGTCGTACCACTTTATACTTAGCAGGCGTCTTCGAAATATTTCCAAATATACGTTTTTTTCAGGTTTTTATGTCAAGCCATTTTGGCTGCTGAGGTTGCTATATAAACTTTAGTATAGTATGGAATGTACTAGGTTGCTTTTTTTTACTGAACAAATATTTCTAATAAATTTTTTGTTATGTATTAGGGGAGAAAGGTGTAAGGATAGTTAGAAATATAAGCTATAAATGAAGAGTCATTACATTGAAGTGGTATCATTGGAAAGCCCGTTTTGGCTATAACTTTTTCCTACTCCATTTTGAAGTCAATTGCAGAGCTTTCGAGAAATTTTAAATGTTATGGTTAAGAAAAAAGTTTTTTAAATTTGATTGAAGTCTATGGATACTAATCTTTTCATCTGAAATGGAATAGATTTTCTGTTTTTTTTTAGCGAATTTACAGCGAATCTGTACCATGGCACCGCTATCCTATTGCACCGCTCTCCGGCCCTTTTCCCATCTTACCGGCGTGAAGTCTTTACTGCGCATTGCTTACGTAGGCTTGAAAGCAGCAGTCCGCTGCAACAGCATCAAAGCCAGCCCCAGCGGCCCGTTGCCACCGCAAGACCACGATGGCGCACCCCCAGTGTTGGTGGAGTCCGTCGTTTCCCCAATAGCGAGCTCGTCGGAGATCGTATTACTGGTGGATCTGCTAAAAAGTTACCTTTATTAGTACACCAAAACAAAAACAGGATATCCATGTAGGGAGCGAAGTCCACTTCCGCAAGTTCTTCCCATTGGTATTGTCTAGAAGATCTCCTCCAGCACTTCAACTGTCCTGCAGATTTGCCCTGTCGGTAACGTCCTTTAATAATGGGCAACAGATTGTTTTCGGCGTCTTTTTTCATCTGCACTGACCATTCTTAATTTTTTGTTTCCACATCGCATTTACACGAACACTGCCGAAGATTAAATTTCTTGTTCTTTGGGCCGCGGCTAACGGCGTTCATCGAAATTCCTTCGCTAAATTTGGTATTTTTTCTACTATTTCCTTACCTCATTCGAGTACCGCGCTGAAAAACAGACACGAGGAAAATGTTAGCCGCGTATTTGCCTCTCGCTCACTGCTATGGTTAGCTCGCAATTTTCGTCGACGTTAGTAGTAGGCTTAATCAAATAAAAATTCACCAACCAACGTGAAAAACTTTTATTTGGCCAGTGCGTTTTTTATTTTGTACAACAATTGCATTGAATCTCCAAATTCTCGTCCCCTTACGCAGTGTTCCGCAATACCGTTTTTAATTAATCCTAGTACTCACAACGATGAAAACCGCGAGCTAAGGGTTTTCGTCGTGTCTATTTTTCAGCGCGGTACTTAGATGAGCTAAGGAAACACCAAAAAAAAAAAAACATATTTCGCGGTGAATTTTGATGAACGCCGTTAGCCGCGTCTTAAAGAATAAGAAATGTAATCTTTGGCTGTGTTCGTGCAGAGGCGGTGTGGAACTTTATTGTGGGATTTGACCGACAGCAAGCAATGCCACGACAGGACAAATCCGCAGTGTTTGAGGAAGATCCACTAGAGAATTCCAGTGTGAAGGAACATGCCGAGTGGGATTTCGCTCGATCTCCAACGAGCTCTTCATTTAGGAACCACCGGACTCCACCTCCATCAGCTACTTGGCAGGTAAAGCGGCCAGCTTTTATAGGGAGAAGGAAATAAGGTCGCCCGCTAAGGGAAAGCTGGAGGAGCCGTCACCAGCCAGTACCAGGATGCTGGGCGACTTCATGGCTCCCACTTCCTCAAGGTCCAATATTCCTATTGGGACTCGGAGGTGGACTGCGGTGGCGGTGATCAGGATCACTAGCCGAGACGTTCTAGCCATGTCCGTCTGTCTGTCTGTCCGGATGAACGCTGAGATCTCGGAAACTATAAGAGCTAGGCTATTGAGATTTCGCATGCAGATTCCTGAGCTTCTTACGCAGCGCAAGTTTGTTTCAGCAATGTGCCACGCCTACTATAACGTCCACAAAACGTCCAAAACTGTGGCCCCTACAGTTTTGATGCTAGAATAACAATTTTAACTGAAATGTATTGGTCTCAGCAATACCTATCGATTAATCCAAAAAAAAGTTACCATGCCCAGTTTAACGCCCCAAACCGCCCACAAACTTCAAAAAATCGTAAATATAAACGCAGATATCTCGGAAACTATAAAATATAAAAAATTGGGATTTCAGATTTAGATTCCGCAGCCTTGTACGCAGCGCAAATTTGTCACGCAAATATACAACGCCCACTTTAACGCCCACAAGCCGCCCAAGTCTGTGGTGCCCACAATTTTCATGCTTGAAAAATATGTTAACTTAAGTGTATTAGTCTTGTCAATACTTATCGATTGATCCAAAAAAAAGTTTGCAAAGCCTCTCTACTCAAACCGCCTAGCCTGTGCGCCCACAATTTTCATGCTTGAAAAAATATTAACTGAGATGTATTAGTCTCGTCAATACCTATCGATTGACCCCAAAAAAAAGTTTTCCATGCCTACTCTAACGCCCATAACGCCTAAATCTGTCTACCGCCCACATAACCATATATTGAAATCGCGGGAGATCTGCCTTTACTGCTTGCATATCTCCATTTCCCTTTGGTCCCTTTAGCTGAGTAACGGGTATCAGAAAGTCGAGGTAATCGACTATAGCGATTTTCTTTTGCACCAGCAGACTCTCCTTTTTTAAATTGCTCCAGTTGATTTCTTTTCCGTTTGTCAATAATCACAGCTGCTTGACAGTAAGACCATGGTACATGCATTGCGGGTGAACTTTGAGGACATCGGTCACACTACTAAGAATAAGATTTTTCAACTAGTGAAACTCTTAACCGATCTGAGTACTAGGTCTAAGAATTAAAGACCATACACCATCCACCAAATCATTTCTTGGCATTTTGTTCCTCCGTCTACATATTAAAGAAGGCAAAATAATAGCACCAAATTACTTGGTACTTGGTTATTTTTCAACCGCAGATTATATAGATTACAATAACACTCATTAAATACTATCCACCAAATCATTTGGTGTTTTGTTGGATGTTTTGTATTTTTTCCAAACAAAATTATTACAAAGGCAAGAAAAATAATTCCAGTACTCCACAAAAAAAATTCAAATTCGGTCCCAGTTCTAGAATAATACAATAAACATATACCAACAAAAATACTTAATTTTTCACGGGTGATATACAAACTTGTTTAGTACCGTTCCTCACCCGTATTATTGGGTTTAATTCCGCAAAGTAACTAGGTTGGTCCGTGCTCCAATTCCTTTTTGTACCAATCCACGACATTTCTCTTGTCGACCAGGGACAGGTTTCCCTTTTTCGACGGAAACACAAGCAGGTATATTCTGACCCAAAAGAGTTCCATTTTTTGGTATGTCCCTTGGACAACAATTTGTTTATCCCACCTGCAGTAGTCCCAGGCATCTCCGTAGATCCGCCCACACCCGAACTAAGCACTAATTCTTCGTCGCCCCGGAAAAGGGTAACAGCTTACCAAATTTATCCGAGCCAATTCATTGAGGTCTCGGATTGACTGAGTGAACTTGAAACCAGAACAAACACTCCTTCGCCGGTCCCTCCAACTCTATCGATGTTAAGCATTCGCCGCGAAGAAATCCGCGCGTTATGGGACCGCATCAAGGCAGAGTACGACGAACGTACCGGGTGCATGGCAAAAGTCGGAAAAAGTGCAGCTGATAGCTTGCCGATTCTCCGAGCTAAATACAGCTATTGCTATTCCGTTTACGAATGATGTGGTGCTCAGATTGCGGATATGATAGCCCAAGCTCCCCAAGTTCAAGCTGTTCCTACTCAGACCTACATGTCCTCTGGCTGTCGGCTGCCTCCGTGCGATTCCGAGGTTTTCACCGGAGATTATCTTCGTTGGCCAACGTTTAGGGATGTGCTTTCGTCAATTTATATAAATAATACAAAGCTAAAGATGGATTTTAAAGATTTACCTGAATGACAAAACGAGTGGCGATGCGCACAACATAGTCTCGAACTCCCCCGCTATGCATGTAGCATGGTCTTACTGTCAAGCAGCTGGGTTTGTTGCTAAACGGAAAACAAATCAATTGGATAAATTAAAAAAGGAAGTGTCTGCTGGTACACAAAGAAATTAAAATAAAAACAAGGGAGAACGCTATAGTCGAGTACCTTGACTTTCAGATACCCGTTACTCAGCTAAAGGGACCAAAGGGAAATGGAGATATGCAAGCAGCAAATCGAGATTGAAATGCGCCACCTACCCGCGATCTCAATATATGGTTATGTGGGCGGTAGACTTAGGATTTAGGCGTTATGGGCGTGTCAAACTTTTTTTGGGGTCAATCGATAGGTATTGACGAGACTAATAAATCTCAGTTAGTATTTTTTCTAGCATGAAAATTGTGGGCGCCACAGGCGCCTAATCGATAGGTGTTGATGAGTACAATACATTTCAGTTAAAATTTTTATTCTAGCGTCAAAACTGTAGGAGCCCCAGTTTTGGGCGGTTTGTGGGCGTTAGGGTCGGAAACGCTTCCTTTTGCCTGTTACATACATTCCGACGAATCTAGTATACCTTTTTACTCAACGAGTAACGGGTATAATAAATGGAATGTTCAACGAATGTTTTTATTTATGTAATTTAGTAGTTTAAAGCTTCCTTCTCGTCCCACGGATGCTTCGCCATCTTTCCCGCGCCACCGCAGTCCAGCTCCGAGTCCCAATAGGCATCCAGCACTTCAACTATTCTGCGGATATGCCTCTGTTGTGGTATTGCTTCCTGTCGGTGAAATCCCACAATAATGGGCAACAGCTTGGATTAGGCGTCCTATTTCATCTGCATTGAACTCCTGCAGTCGATTTTGGGGTTTTTCTTCCAGTTTTAATTTTTAGTTTCCCCATCGCCTTTGCACGAACACCGCCAATGATTACATTTCTTATTCTTTGGGCCGCGGCTAACGGCGTTCATCGAAAATTCACTCACGAAATCTGGTATTTTTTCTGGTATTTCCTTAGCTCATATGAGTACCGCGCTGAAAAACAGACGCGACGAAAAGCGAAACAAGCGATTGTTAGTAAATAGCCAATTCAAAATTTTTTTCAATGTGGACTGCACATCAGGAATCTGTTTCAGTTATCTGTGGTCTTCAAAACACCACCCAGGGTTGCCTCACGGCGTTAAAATTGTCCAGAATTTATACAGAAGATTGGGATTGCCTCTTTGTTTACATGTGCTCTTCTTAACTCCCTAAGTTCTCTCTATCCTTGTGGGAAAAGTCCCCCAAGAGCTACACGTATATCTTACAGAGTGTCACCGGATTCTAGAAAATATCCGCCACCAGTGCAGCGTCTCAAAGAATAAATTCTTACAAGACAAGGGTAAGAAGAAAAACCATTCTGTCCACACATGTGCACGATTTCTTCAGATAACGGTCAACGAGCGGTCAGCATACATAAAGAGAAAGCAGCTGTGTCTGAACTGCTTCGCACTAATGAATCAGCAAAAGCGCTCATTGATGCTTTACGTACCGCAGCCGCCATCACACCCTACTACACCGAGACAACTCCACCCCAGCGCTTATAAATCCTTCTCCGAGTCCCACATCAAGACGAAATACACTAGTTGCCTAGGCTACCGTGTCTACGGATTCAACAGTCCAAAATTACTTTGAGACGGGGTTTAGATCCGTCTTGCTGGGTACCGCCACTATTGACATCTGTCATTTGTGGTCGAATTTTAAAGCTCGTGCCCTGATAAATTCAGGCTGTGAGGCAACCTTTATTTCTGAGCTGCTTTTCAGACTAATTAGGTTGCCTTGCTTAATCCAGACAGACGCTGAGTCCAAAAAGTTCTGTCAGTTTATCTTTCGTTCTCCGAACAGGCCTAGCTTGCAAATAAATACGACTGTCTATGCTCTTCCGGAATTAGCTGAATACCTTCCATCTTATCCGTTTCCGCAACAGTTTTTATGGGATCTTCCGAACTGCCGCTAGCGGATCCAACGTTTTACGAGAGCGCACAAATATATATTCTGATCGGGGCCGATGTACTGCCATCCATACTCATAAGCGGAACCCGGCCGATCCTCTGTGGCTCTCCCCCGTGGTCAAGAAATCATTTTCCGATGGATCCCAACAGGACCAGTGCCTGCTCCAATGCAAAATCAATTTTCCGTCTTTTCCTCGCAAATTTCCCACGCTTTCGATACATCCCTGGACAAATTGCAATTATCCGATGTGGCTAGTGAGGACAATTTTCTCCGGAATTCCAAGAGAGAAGATAGAGGCAAGTATATAGTAAGCCTTCCGTTTTGTGATTCTGAAAACGTAAATTGCGCCCTAGGACACTCACCTAAAAAGGGACAGTCAGCTGAAAACCAAATATGACTCCGTGATCCAAAAGTATCTCGATCTTAACCATCTACCCATGATTCTGTCAGATATTACCTTCCTCAGCATGCCGTTCTCAAGCCGGATAGGACGACCACTAACCTTTGTGTGGTATCCAATGCCTCCAGCCTTTCAGAAAATGGGGTCAGCTTAAATTATATCCTTCATGCTGGCCCATGTATCGACAGATCTGGGTAGATCCAAAAGATACCCCGTTTCACACATCTCATTCCGCAATAGAGAGGCGTACATTCCAGATTATAAATTACAGAATGTAACTTTTGGAGTCGATTGTGCGCCATTTCTGGCGATTCGAGCTATGCAACAGCTGGCGACTGACGTGCAGCTCAGCCACCCAAGACCGAACAACTTCATTCGCAAAAACATGTTTATAGACGATGTCCTTTCGGGAGCTGACTCCTCAGTCCTCCTTTGCGAGCTGCAAAGTGGACTAGAATCTGCGTGCTTTCCGTTAAGAAAATGGAACTCCAACCACAAAGAACAGGCTGGCTCGCTCCATTTGTTGTGTGTGCCAAAATCTTTATGCAAGAGATTTGGGTTCAGGATCTCGATTGGGACGATGAACTTTCAACTGAACTGTGCTGAAGGTGGAGCAGCTTTCTCCACAGCCATTCGGCTCTTGATCAGGTCCGAATTCCAAGGTGGGTTTCCTTACATCATCACGGATTCAATGACGCCTCGCAAAATGCATACGGAGCTGCGATCTATGTGAGCTTAGAGATTGGGCATACGACGATGATGCATTTGCTCACAACCAAGACGCCAGTCAAAGCGGTGTCACTTCCTAGGCTGGAGCTGTGTGGAGCTCTACTGTTGTCCAAGATGGCGAAGCCATTTTTCCTAGCCAGGGCACCGACTTGCCGATGACCGAGGTAGAAAAGCATGCCGTCAAAGGCCATGTGGCGTCTATGCCGACAGAAGATATTCTGGATCGCTTTTCTTAGTTAGACAGAGCATTGCCGGTTCTCGCGTATGTCTATCGATTTGTCCAGCGATGTCGAAAACAATCGTCGTTTTCAGGGGTCCGTCTAGAGGCCCAGGACGTTTCAGCCGCTGAACGGCTCATGACCATTTGTACTCAGCGCAGTAATTTTTCTGAAGAATACCGCTGATTAACTCAAAAGCGTCATGTGTCCGCGTCAAGCTTGATTCTCTCATGCAACCCCTTTTTAGATCAAAAAGGGCTAGTCAGGGCTTGCGGCCGAGTAACGGCCTCTGAAAGTTCGCGTTATGATGAACGACATCGAATAATCCTACCGTGCGAATATGCCAAGCCCACAATAACGCCCACAAACCGCCCAAACCTGTGGCGCCCACAATTTTCATGCCAGAAAAAAATGTTGACTGAAATGTATTAGTCTTGTCAATACCTATCGATTGATAACGCTAAAATCTCTAAAATCTCCCTCATAACCATATTTTGAGATCGCGGGTAGGTGGCGCATTTCAATCTCGATTTGCTGCTTGCATATCTCCATTTCCCTTTGTTCTCTTTAGCTGAGTAACGGGTGTCTGATAGTCGGGGTACTCGACTATAACGCTTTTCTTTGCTCTTTATTGTTATACAGAATATCATTGTCCCCTGAAAATTCGGTGATGTCATCTTTTCTTTGGGCGTCCCCGACCTCGTTTTGGACCGTTAGACTTAGTACTACTGTATCTTCGGTCATCGAGTTCTCGTTAACAGGTGCAATCACCACTGACAGCATCACTGGCTCCATGAAAACTATTAAATTTTTAGGAACAAGCATGAGGACAAATTTGAATCGAAAACAAGGAAAGAAAAATGATTAAAGAAATCCATCATACTCTGGGTACTCATGTTAGTGGCACATACTCTTTTAGAAATAGTAAATTTACTGTTACATTTAGGAAAAATATTTTTTTAAGAGACATTAATATGAAACAAGAAAGGAAGCTCCCTTCAGCTAGCCAAAGTTGTAAGCGCTGCAATCGTCTTGCGAGGAAGCAGAAAAAGGGGTCCAAATCTGGATCGCAGACTGTAAATGATTTGATTATTTTTCTTGCAGGTAAGTGTAGCTGAGAGTCGGACGGCTGCGTTGACTTGGTTTCTGGTTGGCCGCTCATCGGCCGAACAATAATTGGACGGAGGGTGAATACAAAGGCCCCAGTAAGTTTCGCCGCCCGTCGGACACCCCGATATGGTTCCTGTGGCGACGTAATTACCTGTTCGTTCGCAGACGGTTCCTGCTACTGTGAATGAAAGAATCATCTCTGATCCCATCTCCCATCTCACCTAGCTGTCCTCACTCGCCATTTTCTAAGCCTGGTGCTCTAAAAAGTCGGTTATTGGACGATCCTATACCGTTTAATTCCCATATAAGAGAATTCCCTCAACCCTGCCTTCGATATCAATAACCTGTCTGTCCCAATATCGGTGAACTTCCAGCGAGTTCCAACTTAATATGCAACACCACCCAAGGATTTAGAGAGACGCCACACGGTCTGAAGCCACTCGACGAAGTCATAGGGAGCATTGAAATCCTTTTCTGATGGAATCTGGTGTGTCATCTAACAAGCACTTCCATACGGGATGTATGACCACGTTGTTGAAATTTTCCCCTTTGTTGCCTCCTTTCAGATTACAGACGGATGTCTTTCGCGAGGTAAACTCCCAGACGACGTCCTTGCAAGGCTTCCAGCTCGCAGGCTCTCACCACTCGAGCTTTTAGGAAATTCCTTGCAAACTTGGCGTTGAACGACTTGCTAAAGTCACTGAGGAAGAAGTTGCGCCGGTATACTTCCTGACCTGGCTTGACCAAGAAGATTCGAGCGCGCTAGTCATACCGATGGCGGCTTCTCTCATATGCTGTTTTTAGATTCTTTCGCACTTTTTTTTTTGGTGAATCACACGCAGTTTGTCCGCAGTCTTCATCCCAGTCATATTATGGTCGCACAAAGACTTTAACTTATAATTGGCTCCGTTCAGGAACTCGTGATGTCTGAACACCATGAAGAAGGGCACTTTTCTTGTGATCGTGTAAATCGCGATGCGAAGATGTTGTGTGCTAAACGACTTGCTTGGAAAAGTAAAACTAGCAAGGGTGATTAAAGGGCAAAAGTAATTGGTCGCAGACCATAATATAATATTAGCAGAATATTAAGTTTCTACCCAGTGAGTGATAAAAAATACTTGTTGATGTGAGTGGAGTTAAGATATAAATATTTGTAGTATATTCCGTGAGGGATAAGCCTGGATCAGGAAAAGAGACTTACGTAAGGAGAGACGAAGACCAGCCACCAGGAGGAGATCTACATTTTCGACCAGAAAATTGGCCACTCATCCCCGGGCCCCGTCCACAGGTTTTTATTCGCCCCTTAGAATTATATTTGCCACAGAAAAATAAAACTTGTTCCCGAAAACTGCAAACTGCAAACCAAGTCAGCAAGCCGAAAATTAAAATATAAAAATTGAGACTGGTATCTCAGATTGTGTAACCCGCCCAAACTAATTTATAATATAATACTAAATGTTACAATTTAAGAGAAAATCCTGAATTATAAAGTGAAAACGAAATGAAGTGTGAATAGAAATTCGTGTTGGGGGGTGAGATGAGTTAGGCGAAGTAGCACGACCCACAAAACAGAATTGGGAGATGTGTCCAAAATGTTGAAGGATACACTCATGGTTGGGAGGGACTCCAGGACCACGATAAGAGCTGTGTTGTCCAGTCCAGGTGTTCAAGAAAAATCCTTCGTGAAGATTGCCGTTGTCCGAGTGTGAATTTCCGTTTTGTTTTTGTTGTGTCTGCTGCGTAGACAACATTGTTGGTTGTTCCCCTCCCTGGGACGGTCGATGACTAGCCGGCATCTACACTGCGCAAAAAGCAGGTCACGACAAGGAGCTACCTAAATCTCTGGAAGATAAGCATCCCAGTCCCGATGGTCTCCATCCAAAAGACCCCGGATTGCTGCCAACACGCTTCGATTGACTCGTTCCACTGCGTTGCTCTGCGGAGAGTATATCGGTGTCTTTAGGTGAGTGATCCCGAAACTCTCTATCGCTTCCTCGAAGATCTTGGACGTGAACTGCCGACCATTGTCCGAATGTACTACTTCCGGGATGCCGAGTTTGTAAAATATCTCGTGAATACGGAAATCTTCCACGTTTGAGGTAGCGGTAGCTTCCTTCAGAGCCTTTAAGAATGTGTATTTGGAGAAGTGATCCACAACGATATATTTCCTAAGGATGTCGATATACAGCTTTTGAAACGGCTGTTCCGTCTGGACTCTTTCTCCAATTCCGAGTTCCATCCGGAATATAGGTGCCGTCGATTCCTTGCAGACTTCGCATCCCCACACGAAGTAGCGGACTTGGATTGCCACCCCTGGCCAGTAGTAGTCCATTCGCAAGATTTCCACAGTCTTTCCCATTCCGCCATGAGCTGCTGTTGGATCCGTAAGTGCACGCTCAATTATGCTGTGGGTCAGACTTTGCGGAATCCACAGTTTACACTCGGCCTCTTCCACCTCCCCATTAAGATTCGTTGGAAAAACTCTTTTGAAGATGAGACCATCCTCGATCTTTAAGTCCGGTAAGTTTGTCAAATTCTGCTCCACATCCTTTACTAACTCCCAGTATTCTTCTCCAGTGAATACAGTGGTTTCGAAACCCAACAACTCCGTCGGATCCACCGCTAGCTCTTCTACGCACGGCGAGAGGGTGTCTGCCACGGCGTTCTCCCTGTCTTTTCTTGGACGTTGATGCACTATGGTCAGTACAAGCAAGTGGCCCTTACGACACTATGCAATGCTTGCTACGTGCGGAGCCTTTAACCGTTTTGGGCAAACGAAATCGCGGACATGGAAAAAGACCATATAACAATAGATTGCTTAAAATACATGTTCACATAGAATGGTTAGCAACATAGAAATTTACAAATTATTGGAAAATAGAAAATAAATAAGATTATCGTAATTACTTGCATTAAGGCTATCAACAGTAAGACTGAAACACTGCGCTATTTTCTCCACAAAGAACCCGAAAAGGATAATGAAGGGCATATTTGTGTCTAAAAATTGGCAGGGACAACGGACGAAAACGACGAACTGTTCTACAGGGTACATTCCAAGTGAGGGAAATAAGAAGGCAAGGAACATCACCATTAATTAGTTTATGAAAAAACATAACTCCATGACACTTTATACGATAGTTCAGGGTTGGGAAGTCTGGCAGGCGCAACCTCGCATGATAAGAGGGCAATCGACTTCCTGTGTCACAGTTTACCTCTCAAAGCAAATAAAAAGAATTGTTTTTTAACGGACTAGAATATTTTGGTAACAGATTAACAATTTGAGGTGACTATATACACGAGCAATATTCCATAGCCGTCTATGGAAACAAGAGAAACATACAAAACCTTAATTGTGTAAGGATCATCAAACTCCTTTGACCAACGCTTAATAAACGCAAGGAGACTTCTGGCTTTGTTAGGTTTAGTAGATATATGGTCTTTAAATCTATGTTTGTGATCAAATATAACGCCTAGATCAAACTCCTTTGACCAACGCTTCATAAACGCAAGGAGACTTCTGGCTTTGTTAGATTTACTAGATATATGGTCTTTAAATCTATGTTTGTGATCAAATATAACGCCTAGATCCAGAACTGAAAAAATACGTTAAAGTGGATTTTTTCCAATAGAATAAGAATACAAAGATGGATTACAACGATAAAAGGTCATAAAGTTACATTTGGAATAGTTTAAATTTATCATGTTAATCATGCACCACGTATACAAACACTCAAGATCTAATTGAGGGTCATTTGATGAATTAGGTAAACACATGGACAAACATTTATTATTTTGGAAATTTTATTATTAAAACAGAGCAATTGAGTTCTATAAGAAAGGCAATAAAACATCCACTCTAGTAGGTTGGGAGGAAAACCTAAAAAGGAAAACCTAAATAAGAAACGGTCTACGGCCGCTCTATCTTCCCCAAAATGGTAAACACTCACTATATAACGCTTAGTTTAGTAATTGTAATGTGATCTATAAATTGTCCTAAGCCTTAACTCCCTTTCCCGACACACGATGCAATTTGACCACCGTTTCTTATTGTTTTAGGGTTCAAGGCAGGGGTTCCAGAGACGAGAGAGAACAGACGCCTGATAAGTTGATCGTCTGGCATAAGCCCAGGCTTTTCAACACTAGGACGATCTTCTTTCTCTTTATTTTTCGCTTATTTGAATGCACTGCATGTTAGAATGGTGAGTGGGGTAATGCAAAGGGTGGGAGGCCCCCTTCCCGCGCCCCTTCCATTGTTTTTCAGGAACTTAAAGTTAACATCAACATAATCAGAATTAGATAATTTAAATTGGTATTGACTTTTTTGGAGAGATAGAAGTTGAGCGCTACTCGTTTCGCCGCTCAGTTCGGCCTGCAACTACACATACATGCCTAAGTACATCTGTTGTTGTCTGGATCTGACGTCGTTGCTTTTTTCTTGGGAAACTTGGAAAACTTGTTTTTAGGTCAATCGAATGGTATTGACGAGACCAATACATTTCAGTTAATTTTTTTTTTCTAGCATCAAAACGGTGGGCGCAAAAATTTAACCTAAGAGTCTCACACTAATTTGTATCTAATAATCTAGTCTAAGCCATTGATAACAAAATCTCCGTAAACATAAAGAAGATGAACACCCGGGAATCTAAAAATTGAAGTTTCATTTAACAATTTCCGAGGGTCTGTGCAGCGTTAAATACAATGCATTAGTTGAAGTCTTCAAATTTCCTCAGACCCCGCTCAAAATTTTTCACAACACATCCTATCGGTACAAAATAGAAAATAAATTACTTTAAATATATAACACCCATCTAAACAAAGATAATCAATCATCTTTACAAAACGAATTTTTAAGTTATGTTAATGTCGACAAGATCAACAACTATTTATTACCCGTTACTCAGCTAAGGGGAGTGCAAGGGAGATAAAGATATGCAAAGCGACTGTCCCCAAGATTAGACATTTTATTTGCCTACAACCTTATTTGAAAAATGTAGATGGCCACTGATAATAGAAACAAAGTCTCACAAAAATTTTTACAACATATTATGAAATGTGGGCGCTAGACAGGTTTTAGCGTTATGGTCGTTTGTGGGGGTTAGAGTGGGCGTGGCACCCTGCTGAAAGAAACGTGCGCCCAAGAATCTACATGCCAAATCCCAACTTTCTAGCTTATATAGTATAGTATCTGGGTTATATAGTAACGACCATAAAGACTTGTCTTCAGAAAATACAGATGTTTTTTTAAAACTTCGCAAGCGACTTAATGATGAAAGTGGACTCTAGTGAAAAACAAGAATGGAGAATAGTCATCAATTACACTAGCTTACAAAAATAAATTTCTTTTGGAATTCAGCTTTAAAACCAATTTTTCAAGACTAATATGTCTTTCCTGTACACGCTGGTATTACTCAAAATTCTACAGATATTCGCGAAAAACATATTTTTTCGGTGTTGCTTGATTAAAGAGCTAATGTTAAAGACTCCAATTATCTAACCGTTTGACAGCTTACACAATCTAAAAGAAGATAGATGTACCCTTCCGAAGACATATCTCTTTTTGGGATCGGATTTCAATTAACCAAGGAATTTACCAACATCTACAATACTCTACCCTTTTTTTGAAATAGCTAGTTTTCTTTCAATTTTACTACCTTAAGAAAAATTTTATAAATTATTTTGAGTACTTGATTCAATAGATTAATTTGTCCCTTAAATGTTAGGACCAACTTTGCAAAAAATTGTGGCAAATCAAAAGCGCTATGGTTAATTTAGTAAAAGTTTTCCATTTCATAACATAACATTTTTGAATGCACACGCGCAGTAACTTTGGTTTGGCTAAAGAGTCGGGGGAGCGACTGCGGTTTATTCATTGGTGACAGACTTAACACTAACTTAAGCCTAAGTAAGCTATGCGCTCCAGTGCGCAGTAAAGATTTCACGGCGGGGAGATGAGAACAGAGCGGGAGAGCGCCGCTCTCAGAGCAGTGCACTGGGAGCGCGGTGCAATGGGATAGCGGTGCAATGGTCCAGATTCACTTAACATTGGGCCTGAACATTCCGCCGGAGAAGATCCACCCAACACCATCTTTTGGGCCACTGGCAGTCTCTCGTAGATCATGTGGAAGCCCGGCTGAATGACCTTGGGATATACGATGGAACCGCTCATCCGCAAGCTGTAGCTTCCGGAATTCCTCGACCACGCACTCACTGAGCGCTCGGATTGGAAAACGGATCCGCAAGTTCGGTCGGGAGGACATTGACGCTGGGGCGCTAAAGAAGTGCCGCGAGCGACGGAGCTGGTGGCGAGGATGCTGAGCGGGGTGAAGTAGCAAGCGAAATGAACTTGACGAGGACACCCTCTTCTGGATACCAAGCGAAGGCGGCAAGAAAGTTCTCAGTCGTTAAATCGGATGTAGGCTCTAGATAGATGGCCTTGTAGAAAAGCAGACGAAGTCCAACACATACCCCTTTGTGATGAGACAAGCTCTTACGGTGCATTTTTTTATATCGAAAGGGCTGGCGTAGTCCATTCCTGTGCACGTGAATGAACGGCAAAAAGACACTCGCTCTTTCAGCTATCTTTCCATCATCAGGACTTGCAATTTTGACTGAAGCAGCGGCATTCTTCAGAAAAATATCTGCGCTAAGTACAAATGGCCATGGTCCGTTCAGCGGTGGCAACGTCTTGGGCCTCTAGACGGACCCTTGAAAGCGGTGATTGTTCTCGACATCTCTGGACAAACGTGAGGACCCGCAATGCTCTATCTAACTTGGAAAAGCGATCCAGTATATCTTCTGTTGGCATAGACGCAACATGGGCTTTGAAGGCACGCTTTTCAACCTCGGTCACTGGCAAGTAGGTACCCTGGTTAGGCCATTGATTGCGTGGCCTTTGCAGCCAAGTAAGTCGATGCCACCAAAGCGGGTTATCCACCAGCTCCTGAAGGGAAATTCCTCGACTAGTCAAATCACCAGGATTATATTCGGATTGAACGTGCGATTTTCGTCATCCTTTTGGCAACGAACGTTGTCCAATAACTTGCTGGTTTGGCTAACCATCCCAAGTGCACCATCTCTACGCGCACATGGATCGCAGCTCTGTACGCTTTTTGCGATGCGTGAATCCGTGTTGCTCTACGCGGAACTTTGGACGGAAGGAACCCCACCTTGAAATTCGGATCTGATCAAGGACCGAATAGCTCTGGAAAAAACTGTTCCACCTTTGGCACAGTTTCGTTGGAAAGTCGTCGTCCCAACCGACATCCTAGAGCCAAATCTCTTGCATAAAGATTTTGGCACACACAACAAACGGAGCGAGCTAGTCTGCTGGGTCAAACATCTTGGCAATTTGGGAAAGGACCTGGCGTTTCGTGGTGGAAATCTGGTGGGACGAAGAAAAATTCATTGGACGTCACTTTCCAACGTACTACGAGAGTTTTGGCTGTGCTTTCTGTGTCGATCTCGAGGAAGTCTGTGGTTACAAGATGATCGCTTTGGATATGAGCTAAGATTTATTTGTGTTCGGAGGTCCATTTTCTTAATGGAAAGTCCGCGGAATCTAGAGCACTTTGTAGCTCGAGAACAATGAGTTGAGCGTCCTCTGCGGAGTCAACTCTCTCGAAAGGACACACATGTGATTGCGAATGACGTTGCTTAGATGGCTAAGCTGCACGTCAGTCGCCAGCTTTTGCAGGACTCGAATCGCCAGAAATGGCGTACAATTGAGTCCAAAGGATACCGTCTGTAATTCAAAATCTCGAATGTGCCCCTCGCTGTTGCGGAATAAGATGTGTTGGACCGGGGTTTGCTTCGAACCTACTCAGATCTGTCGATACATTTTCTTGATTTCGGCACTGTAGACATATCGGAAATATCGCAACTTCATGTTCTGGATGGTTAGATC